TTTTTTAATATAAATTTTATTAATTGTTAATCTAGTAATCAAATAATTTTTATCTCATACTTCTATTATTATTTTTTTTTATCTTTCTTAGTTATTTTTAATTCTTATTTAATTGAATTCATAATCCTTAAAAATTAAAATTAAAAAGTATCAACTATTATTTTAATAAAAAATTCAAATCATAGTTAGTCTTAACATGCAAGATTTACATGAAGTATTATAAAATAAAGAAAAGTACTTAACATTTTTTTTTTTTACATAAGTCTTTATCATCTATTTCTTCTACACTTGCTTAACTTGCAAAATTTTTTTTCTTATCCCTTCTATTATTTCCAATTTATTGTCATTTTTTTTCCATTCCTATTCTATTCCTTAACTTGTATTGTAACATACTTTGATATGTTAATATAAGTATTCAAATCAAAGTTATTAAAAAGAAAAAGTGATTTGAATGAAATTTTAGTACATTTGAATATATATTCCCAAATATATGTGGCAATAATATTTGATGCATATACAATTTAGAAGAAATATGAAGTAAAATTTATGTTTAAAAGGATTAAAAAGTTAATAATAGTATAGTACGAATAAAATAAGAAATATAATATCTTCTTGCAAAAAAAAAAATATTTTCATATAACTTGATTTTTATTAAATTCATACCTTTCTTATTTAGTTCAGTGTATGAATAAATACTTTTATTATTCTAATTGACTCCAATCTCATGAGTGAAATTCTCTCTTTAACAAAAAAAAAAAAATCATCCATTAATAGTTTGTAAAGAAAAGAATGCATAAATTTTAAACAGATAAAGTTACAAAATTATTTTAAAAGAACAACATCATATATTTTATAAAAAAAATTCATAAAAATCAATAATAATCCTTATTTCATACAACAATATACATATTTTGGACAAAGAGGAAAAAAGGCACAAGAAAATAACAACATAATATTATATTTAGTTACAATATGAAACATGAGAAAAAAAAAACGAAAATATTTGGAACTCACTATATTAGTAAAAAAAAACTGTAGAGATGAAGATGAGGATATAATACATTGGTATAGAGAAAGTGACTAATGATTAGAGATGGGGAGGAAGATGGAAGGGTATATAGAAAAATCATGGAAAAAAGATGTCATCAAAGATCATGGGAGCATATGCATTTATAAATTTAAACATTGAGTCTTCATTTTCTTCATTTATGAGTTTTTAAATATTTAAACCTTCGATTTTTTATATTAAGATAATATTGCCTCGTCTACCACATTTATTCATCAATTATTTTTATCATTTACAATTTTCAATTATTTGCCTATCTATCACTTTTATTATCCTCTATAATTTTCATTTATTTTTGTCATTTATTTATAATTTTAGTTATAATATGAAACATGGAAAAAAAAAAATTTGGAACTCACCATATTAGTGAAAAGAAACTATAGAGAAGAAGAAGAGAGTATGATATATTGATATAGAGAAAGTAATTAATGATTAGAGGTGGAGAGGAAGACAAAAAGATAAGAAGATGGAAGGGCACAAAGAAAATTTATATATGTTAATATCTTAAATAATTTTTAAAATTTAAAATTGCATCATCTCCTACTCAATGCTTCCTTTGAAATTAGCTATTTCAGCAATATTGTCATTCATATAAATCTTTGTAAATTAAGAGCTCGACAATGAAACTCCTCCTAACACAAAAATGTTTTTTTTTTTTTTTAATCAAGATGCATAATTTTTGAGATTTTTTATTTTAATAAAAAATAAAAAATTATAAATTTCATTATATACTTACCTTATTGTCCTTGACAATCATAAATGTGAATATAATGACTTCCACATTTAAATAATTAAAAAATCTAATTTACTCAAATTGATTTACCATAGAAGACTAAAGTGTTATGTTCGAATAGTTTTTCCTTCAACAAAATTAAAACAATATTAAACAGCTATATATAATTAATTGATCAAATATTATATTTTATTCAATTAAAGAGAAATGAAATTTAAATAATTTTCATGTAATTATTTAAATATGAATTACCTTTGATCTTCAATATATAATTCCATGCAAGTAACATTACTACTATTTACTTGCCTTTCTTGTGGAGTTCGAACACTAACCAAAACTCCAATAACATCTAAATTTTTAATAAAAGTATTTTAAATAAAAATAAATCACATATTCACTTAATAAAATTATAGTAAAATTAAAAAAAAAACACCACAAAGGCATTTCTTTTTTTTCTCGAGAAGGTTCTCATAATCAATGAGTTTAAATACAAATCTCGGAATCTCTATAACTTCTTCAATCAATTCTTTGACAATAGTATTACGGTGAAATTGAATCCTATAGTTGTTGTAAGAGACAACACGATAAGTGTCATTATTCTTTTCCACAAAAAAAAAAAAAATTCACAAAATAAACATTCCTTTCAACTAACTTATTCTTAAATCGCAAAGTATTGGAACTCCAAATGATAACATAAATAAAATTTTTCTACAAACAAATAATAATTATTAATAGAAATCATTAAATACATAAAAGACTAAATGTAATTACTTATAAAATTATCTTCTCATTAGCCAAAACCATTTCGTGAGATGGTTTCTATCACGTTTTAAACTAAAAACATCCCATAATATACATACTCGCACTTTAATCTCCCAATCTTCTTTATTGGGTGAAAGTTGATCAAGAAATATATATTCCATATCTCTTGTAATTGATTTACCTCTATATAACAAAATATTTCAAAATTAGAGAAAAAAAGTAACATAATTAGAGAAAAAAGGAATTGATGGTTAAAATCAAATACCTATTCATATTGAGAAAATACAATCCAAGAAACTATATCCTATAATCAAAATTTAGTTCTAGAAAAATTTCTAAAACAAAACAACAGTGAAAAAACTTTGTCAAAAACATAAGGACTTTAAATAGTAGACACTTGACCCTTCAAGTTCTAACTTCCATTACTTGTTTCTTTCTTCATCTATCAAAAGATAAACCACCTTAAATATTACTAATTAATATGTTAAACAAAAAGAAATGGTTTTGCCTCTTTATCTAAGAATGAACCAATTTTTTTGATATTAATATTAATAATTAACAATTAATATACCATTCATTTAAATTATTTTCAGTTACCAAGATAAATTGTCGTGCCCCAAAACCAGGAGCGAAACAGATGCTGTGCATTTGTGAATGGGTCCCACAAATGCACAAGGCTCGAAACCTACAGTGTTCATAATTACCAATTTACATAACTTAAATCAGAAAACTCGGTTAATAACTAGCTTTTAGTTACCAAAAATTTGCTAGTCTAGATGTACAAAGTTTATAAAACAGTCATGGCTATAACCAAGGAAAATCAATATACAAAAAAATGATTTCTCAATTCACATCTATGTCAAACATGTGTGGCAAACGACCTAAGTCCAAAAAGGATCTAAGTCCAAAATACTGACTAGCCATCTAACTCGTCACTCCCCTTGGTTAACCGTGCCTCGAGTTTCACTTCCTGAAATGGTGGACAAAGAAAAACTATGAGATAAAATATCTCAATAAGTAAAAATATGGGTAGCCCGTGAGTACAATTTAAGCATGCCTGATAAACAGTTTAATGTAACAAAACGTTCAATGATAAACAGTTAATGCAAAATAAGCTTCAGTAGTAGTTTTGTCTATAAGTCATGGCCAGTGTTTAACTCTCACTGGCAGGCATCAGTAATAACCATTGCATTATCCCATTGTCAGGATTTCAGTAATGAACCGATCCTATCGGTAAACATGTCAACATGTGCTAGCATTTATAAACCTCCCACTAGCGGACACAGTAAAACATGACCATATTGGAGACAAAACCATGCAAGATTTACAGGAAAAATCCGTAATTCACAATCAATCTCAAATTTTAGAAATAAATCAAAAAATTCCCATGTAGGCATGGATTTAACAAAAAAATCATAATTTACAAAAATTCTCAGATCATCAGGGCAGTTAAGTAAATTCCAAGTAGGCATGCTCTTACTCAATGAAAATGAAAATAATTTCATTTCGAACCAATCATGCTCGATGCTAATAAAATCAATTTAAACATTACCACCATCTCAAAAATAATTTCAAATATGCTTTTACTTTGAAATCGAAAGGCGTTACCATAATTTACTTATCTCAGTCACATAACACAGAAAATTCACTCCGAGTGTTGGGGTGACAGAATACCAAAATATTCTAGAATTAATAACCATATGACCGAACATCTCAATTTCATTCTCAGTATAAACTACGCATTTAAACCCTCCTATTGTTGGCCATTGGTGCGTGAACAGTAATCCCTAAACAGTACCGTAAACAGTAATTACGCCGTGAACAGTAACTGCAACTTCCAAAAATTGGAAAACAATAGCTAATTTCATGGGATTTTTCTCCAAAACCTCACAGCAGCTAATTAACACTCAATCACATAAATTCTACTTGAATTAATGCTTAAATTTTTTTCTAATTCTACCCGAATTCATCCCCCTAATTCAACAAAAATCCGGACAGCACAGGGGTGGCAATTCATGGATAATTTCAGCAACTAATGGGTAATTTGGACTTAAATGGAGCTATCACATACCAGAATTTAGCAAGCAAAATCGGAGCTATAGATTGGGGGAGGCCGGCGGGAATGAAGGAGAATTTCAAGGGATCTACCAAAAATTGGAGAAACCAAAAGAAATTAGAGTAAACCCAAGCTAATTCAAGGAAGAACAGAGGAATTGGTGGCTGTTTTTTACCAAAATTTTGAAGAATTCACACCCAAACACTGGCAAGAACAGCGGACGGTGAGGAACAGAGTAGAGCAGATCAGATATGGAAATTCTACAAAGGGGAAAGATTTCCAAGACTAAATCTTGTTCTTGAACAAGAAAAGAAAGGCAAAAACCAAGCTCTCTTGCCAGTTTTTTTTTTTTCAAGTAGAGGTGCTGTCGGTGGCTAAGCTTCCTTGTTCGGTGTAGGGGAGAAGAAGAAGAGCAGAATCGGGGCGGCTGAAGAAAGAAAGAAAGAATAAAAAAATCAGCCATCCTTATCCAATTTCTTTCCTCTTTTAAGTTCCTCCAATTTTGAAAATTTTGTGATTAGGCTCAACAATATTATTTTCTCACAATTAGGTCCCTAACTCACTTAATTGTTCTAGGAATTTTTGGGGTATTACATCCACCCCTCCTAAAAAGGAGTTTAGTCCCCTAAACTCATACCTCAATCTTGGAAGAGGTGCGGATGTTCCTGCCTCATCTTGGATTCCAACTCCCAAGTAGCTTCTTCAACCGAATGATTATCCCAGAGGACCTTAATAAAATGAATGGTCTTTCTCCGCATTGCCTTCTCCTTGAAATCTAAAATACGGATTGGGTGCTCATCATAAGTGAGATCTTCTCGAAGCTGAATGGGTTCAGGATCAATGATGTGGATTGGGTCGGGAATATATTTCCGAAGTAAAGACACATGGAACACATCGTGAACACTCGCTAAATTTCCAGGCAACTCCAATTGGTAAGCTACCTCGCCAACCCTTTTTAGGATAGGATATGGTCCAATATACCTCGGACTCAATTTTCCCCGGATGCCAAACCTGAGGACACCTCGAGTGGGTGACACCTTTAAAAATACATGGTCACCAACTTCAAACTCAAGGTCTCATCTCCTTCTATCCGCATAGCTTTTCTGCCTGCTTTGTGCAGCGCAAAGGCATTCCTTGATCAATTGCACAATCTCATAAGACTGTTACACCAATTCTGGGCCTAGTATGCTTCTCTTGCCTACCTCTTCCCAGCAAACAAGTGATCTACACCTTCGACCATACAAAGCCTCAAATGGTGCCATGCAGATGCTGGACTGGTAACTATTATTATATGCAAATTTAGCCACGGATAAGTGCTGATCCCATGAACCCTTCCAATCTAGAACGCAAGCCCTCAACATGTCCTCATGTATCTGAATAGTTCTCTCAGATTGCCCATCAGTTTGAGGATGGAAGGCCGTGCTGAAATTTAATTGAGTACCAAGTGCCTGCTACAAGTTTGTCTAAAAATGAGATAAGAATCTTGTATCTCTATCTGACACAATAAACACAGGGACTCCATGCAGCCTGACTATCTCACTCATGTACATATTGGCAAGCTTCTCAATGGATGTGCTAGTCTGGTAAGGTAAGAAATGTGCTGACTTGGTCATTCGATCAACGATGACCCAAATGGAATCATTGCCCTTTAAGGTTCGCAATAAACCCATCACAAAGTCCATGGTGATATTCTTCCACTTCCATTGGGGAATAGGTAATGGTTGCAACTTCCAAAGAAGTCTTTGGTGTTCAACCTTGACTTTCTGGCAAGTCAGGCATTGTGAGACAAATTTATCTATCTCCCTCTTCATATTTCGCCACCAAAATGTATTACGCAAGTCACGATACATTTTGGTGCTACCTGGGTGAACTGTGTAACTAGTATTATGGGCATCTCCCATAATCTCATGCCTTAAAGCATGATCTCTTGGTACACACAGCTTGTCACAAACCATAAAGTCTCATTGTCGGAAACTCTGAATTCTTGCATGTGGGGTTCCCTTGTCTTTACTTTTTCCTTCATCCTTTGCAAGAAAGGATCTTTTTGTTGGGCAACTTTAATTCTATCAATTAATGCCGGTTGTGCCTTGAGAGCAGCTAGATAAGCTATAGTACTGTCCACTCTCAACTCCACATCCAGTTTCACAAGATCCTCAAGTAACTCCTTCTGGGTGGCAAGGATGCTAGAGGCAATGCCAAAGGACTTCCTACTCAACGCATCTGCTACTTTGTTGGCTTTGCCTGGATGGTAGCTAATGGTTAAGTCATAATCTTTCAAAAGTTCAAGCCATCGCCTCTAACTCATGTTAAGCTCCTTTTGAGTGAAAATATACTTAAGACTCTTATGATCGGTGAAAATTTCACAGGTCTCACTGTATAGATAATGCCTCCAAATCTTGAGTACAAATATCACAACTGCCAACTCCAGATCATGGGTAAGGTAATTTTTTTCATAAGACTTTAACTACCATGAAGCATATGCAATAACCTTATCTTTCTGCATCAAGACACATCCCAAACCCTTTTTAGAGGCGTCACTATATATAGTGAATCCTTTCCCATTGTTGGGAAGTGCGAGTACAGGAGCAGTGACCAGTTTCTCTTTAAGGGTCAAAAAACTCTTCTCACGCTCTAGAGTCCACTCAAATTTTTTGTCCTTCCTGATCAGATGGGTCATTGGCAGAGCAATTCTAGAGAAATTCCTAACAAATCGGCGGTAATAACTAGCCAATCCCAGAAAACTACGGACTTCCGCAACACTATTCGACCTTTTCCAATCCACCACGGCCTCAATCTTCTGGGGGTCAATGGAGATTCCATCCTTAGTCACAACACGACCTAAGAATGCAACATTATCTAGCCAAAATTCACACTTCTTAAATTTAGCAAACAGCCTCTCACTTCTCAATGTCTCGAGAACTACCCTTAAGTGCTTTTCATGAAAAGCATGGCTAGAAAAGTAAATCAAAATGTCGTCAATAAAGATAACCACAAACTTATCTAGGTACTTGCTAAATACCTGATTCATCAAATCCATGAATCTTGCAGGGGGATTTGTTAAGCCAAAAGGCATAACTAGGAATTCATAGTGACCATAGCAGGTACGGAAGGCAGTTTTTGGCACATCATCAGGTTTAATCTTCAACTGATGGTAGCCAGATCGGAGATCAATCTTAGAAAACACTTGGGCACCCTTAAGCTGATCAAACAAGTCATCAATTCTAGGAAGGGGATATCGATTCTTCATAGCCACCTTATTCAGTTCTCGATAATCTATGCACAGTCTCATGCTCCCATCCTTCTTTTTAACAAACAACACTGGAGCTCCCTAAGGTGACACACTAGGTCGTATAAACCCTTTCTCAAGGAGTTCCTCAAACCGAACCTTTAACTCCTTCAATTCTGTAGGAGCCATACGGTATGGGGCTTTGGAAATAGGTCTGGTGCCAGGAACAAGATCAATAGCAAATTCAATCTTCTTATCTGGGGGTAAACCTGGGAGATCCTCTGGAGATACATCCGGAAACTCACACACCACAGGGATGTCTTTTAGTCTCAATGTCACACTACTGGCATCAATGACAAAAACTAAGAAACCTTGGCAACCATTTATGAGATATTTTTGAGCCTGCAAGGCCGATATCAGCATGGGTGGAGCAAAGGAACCACTGCCTTGGAAACTAAATTCTGGTTCCCCAAGAATATTAAAAATTACCCATTTACGGTTGTAGTCTATAGAGGCAAAATATTTTGACAGCTAATTCATCCCCAAAATGATGTCAAAATCAGAGATATCTAAAACAAACAAGCTAGCACTCAATTGTCTACCATCAATATAAATATTTACAATCCTACACACATCTCCAGTAGTCATCACCCCTCCTAAAGGGGTGTTCACACACAGTTCAAAATCAGAGGTATCAATAGATAAGGCTGATTTCAAAGCATAAGATCAAGCTATAAAAGAGTGTGATGCACCTGAATCAAATAAAATATGTGCATAATCAGAATTGACAGGTAAAGTACCCATGATTACGTCGGTAGCCATAGCTTCCTTGTGAGTCATCACGTGCACTCTGGCCTGCTGGGCTCTTATCCTAACCCAGGTATTTTGTTTCTGTGCACCCTGATTAGTAGAACCCTGCTGAGATGTGGATTGAGTACTCTAAGCTCTGGGGTTCGACTACGGGCAATTAGCAACCCAATGTCTCTTCTTGCCACATCTGAAGCAAGCCCCAGTAGTAATGTGACACTGGTCATGAGTATGCCCAACTCTTCCACAAGCGTGGCAAGTAGGTGGAGCAGGATGAGTACGCTAGGCTGCTGATGCCTGACCCACAGTCTTGGCAACCCTTAGCCCTTTAAAACCCTTGCCAGTATCAGACTTAGGCGGTGTAGGGATAAAGGGTCTACGACTCCCATCAAATTTTCTCTTCCCAAGGGACGACCCAACTTTTGGCGGATCTAGTGTCTTGACTCTAGCCATAGCCTTCTCCTAATCTATGGCTCTATCTGCCACCTCTCTATAAGTGGCGAGTTTGAATTGATTCACCGCCAGATAAACGTCAGGATTCAAGCCCCATAAAAATCTATCAGTTTTGGCTTGCTTATCCTCGATTTGACTACCCACAAAAGGCAGATAATGGTCAAACTCCTTCTTGTACTGCTCAACAGTACGTGACCCTTGTTTAAGATTTGCAAATTCCCTTTACAGCTCACGCCTTTTGCTATTGAGTATGTACTCTCGCATAAACACCTTTTTAAAATCATCTCAGGTGCTCAATGCAGGCTCTCCTTGGTGTAGCTTCAAGTAACTCTCCCACCAAGTCAATGCTTCAACCGTAAGCATATAACTGCCTACATCGATGTAATATCCCAAATTTTCTGAAATTCTAGCATTTAAGTTGAGGACTTTTGTGTGAGAAAATATTATTTTGGGGATTATTAGCTAAAATATCCAAATTTGAGGGACTCAAAAGAGTAAAAATTTGGATAAGGATCAGCTATTTTTTTTTCCCCTTTTTCTTTCTTCTTCAGCCCGATTCTGCTCTTGTTCTTCATCCCCGACAGCCCCCCAAGCCCCTCCAGCCACCGACTCATTTCTTTGAGAAAATTGGTGACAAAGCTTGAAATTTCTCCTTCTTTCTTGCTCAATAACAAGTTTTAGGACTCAGAACTCTCTCTCTCAACCCAGAAATTTCAGATTTGCTTTGCTCTTCCTCCCCTGTCCACCGGTGTTGCTAGGCACGAATTTTTAGGCTTTTTTCGGTAAGCCACAGCCATGAACTTCATCTTTTCAGCTTGATTTAGCTTGGGTTCATTTTAAATCTGTTGTTTCTTCAAATTTTGATAGCCCCGTGACCTTCCTTCCTTCCTTCCTTCCGTTGGCTGCTCTTGCTTGTGGGTGTGATTTTTCCGGTTTTGGTAAGGGGAACAGCCATTAAATTCTCTTTTCTCACTTGATTTGGCTTGGGTTTAGTCTAATTTCCTTTGGTTTCTCCAATTTTCGGTAGATTTCCCCTGAATTTTTCCTTCCACGCCATCGGCCTCCCTCAACCTCCAGCTTCGGTTTTGCTGGGAAAATTCTGGTATGTTGACAGCTCCTCCGAGCCCGAAATTTCATCAATTAGTTTCTGCCCTGTGTTGTCCGAATTTTGCTGAAAAATGAGGATGAATTTCGGTAGTAATTAGAGCATAATTAAGCTTAATTCATGTATAAATTGCTTGAGTTGTCTGCTGTGATTTTGGAGGAAAATTCCGAGTGTTTTAGCCCCTGTTTTTGCCAAAGCCATGCTCTTCCCTTTTTGCCGTGAGATTGGGAAACCATTTATATATGTATTTGTGTATATAAATATATATATATATATACACAATCCGGTCAATGAAATTGCTTATAAAATTAATTCTTGGATATTTGATTAGGTTCGTGATTGTTCTGTCACCCGAGCACTTGGCTTGAGTTTCCAATTTTGTGAGATTTAAGGTAAGTAAATTATGGTAACCCCCTCTGATTTTAAAGCACATTTTAGCTTGTTTTTGAAGTGGTGGCGGGACTAAACCCGTTTTACACCAGTATGATTGATTTGAAATGAAATTATATTCTTTTTATTGAATTGAGCATGCTTACTTGGAATTTACTTAATTGCCCTGATGAACTGAGAATTTTGTAAACTCTGATTTTTTTGTTAAATCCATGCTCGCATGGAAATTTTTCGGTTGTTTCTGAAATTTGAGATTGATTGTAAATTATGATTTTCCTATTAACTCCTGCTTGTTTTGTCTCTGATATGGTAATGTTATTCGTGTGCCCGCTAGTGGGAGGTTTATAAATGCTAGCGGGAGGTTTATAAACGCTAGCACATGTCGACATGTTATTGATAGAACCGGTTCGTTTCTGTTATACTATTATCCTGCTAGTGGGATTATACACTAGTAAGTCGTGTGCCTACTAGTGGGAGGTTTATAACACTGGCCATGACCTATAGAAGGGACGTCTATTTCGTTTCCATACTCGTACCTGTTTTTCGTGATTATACTGGTTGGCATGCTATAAGTTTAATTAAGGGCTATCCATATTTACTTACTGAGTTATCTCATAGTTTTTCCTTGTCCACTATTTTAGGAAGCGAAGTCAAGGACGGGGAAAAACGAGGGGAGTGACGAGTTAGAAGGCTAGCCATCTTGTAAATTGAGCATAGATTTTAGATATAAATCATGATCTTGTAAGCTAGACTCTATTTGGAGATTTTATGATATTAGAGCAAATTTTACAATTTTATCTTCAGATTTTGGGGTATCAGATTGTGGTATGATAAGTTTTGAGCCTTGTGCATTTGTGGGACCCTCTCACAAGTGTACGGCGTCTGCCATGTCCCCGGATTTGGGTTCTGGGGCATGACAGATTGAGTGGTATCAGAGCTTAGGTTTAAATTAAGAGTTTAAGATTAAATTAAGCACCTCTAGATTGAGTGGTATCAGAGCTTAGGTTTAATTAGATATTGTGCTATATCTAGGATTGGTTTAGAACTTGGTTGGCCAGTGGATTTTAGAATCGTGGTGAGAAGAGTGATGGGGTTATATAAGGGATGGTTCTGATTCATGTTGCATGAATTTTCTAATCCATTTTGATGAGATGGTAATCTGATTGTTCTTGTTTCCTACCTTCATACCTTGTATAGATTCATGAAATTAATCTTGTCCGCCATGTTTTTAAGACCTTGTTTTGAAACTTGGTCATTTTCTGATAGTCTGCACTTGTTTATACTTGTTACTTGAATAGAATTTTTGTATGCTCTTTTGCCACAATTGTAAAATCTGGGGAGTTGCAGAGATCTTTTGTTATTGATCCTGTTGGTCTATATAACATAGCTAGTTGAAAATTTTGTTCTGTTTGTCACATGACCAGTGGAAGATGGGCAAACCCTCTACTTTGTAAGAGGTTCAAGGCTATTTTAGCAAATGTTGTTTGTTTTCTAGATGCGTTTTAGGAGCTGGATAACTTAGTAATTTCACTGCTCATTATCTTTCTGAAAGTCTTATAGTGAAGTTTTGCTTTCTCCATTTGGAGCTTCATGGTCTTTTCATGTGGCTCATTTTTCTATATTGGTTAATCAAAAACAGTGATTAATTCAATTGAAATTGTCGTGTTTTTGTGAAGATTGGCAAGTTGTCATAAAGTTAAACTCTCTATTGTTGCTAATCTCTACATTCTTGATACTTGGAAATTGCTTAAATCTCTTGAAATCCATCTTGAATCTTTCTTGAGATTGCTTTGTACTTGTTCTTGAAATTGAAATCCAAAGGAAATGAATAATGATTATTGAAATCCTCATTATCTTGATACTTGTCTGAAATTAATTCTTGCATTGTTCTTGGAATCTTATCTCGAACCTTGCCTAGAGTAAAGTCATGTTAGCATCCTTTTCTTGAAAACCAATTGATATTTGGTTTTTGGAATCTATTTTGAATTGTCCTTGAAAACCATTCTTGTCCTGACCCTTGCTCTTGTTCAAATTATGTATACTGCTCTTGCTCAAATCTTGCATATTCTGCTAGTTCTTGTTTTAGTATACTTGTTGATCTTCTTGATTTCTGATTTTTGTTCATATGGACACCTCTTTAGGAGGGGTGATGATTATTAGAAAATACATATACGAGGCATCCTAATCCTTGTCCCTTGCAAGTGTTAATCTCTGTATCCTTGATGTCTTAGCTTTGACTTGACTCTAGGATGTCTAGGATGACTTGATTGTAAATCTGCTTAGCCTCCATGGGCTACGAGGTGAAGGGGTAGTCTTTGAAGTACCTGATGCCCTAGAGTTTTGTTCCAAGAGAAATGGTTCTTTTATTTGGCTGCTTTGATTTTGTTTGCCCTTTTAATTAGAAGACAGTAATCTTTTAAGTATCTTGATCCCCACTATTGATTATTCTGTTCATTAATTTGTGTTACTTGAGGTGCTAGATCTTGACATCCTAGTTATATCTGCTCTTGAATCCGTGTTTTGGTTGTCATTATTGAAATCTCTTTTGTGGGCCTAATCCTTGAATTCTATTGCTTGTTTCATGGTTAACTCTTGTCTCTCAATTTTGACTGCTTGGTTAAATTTGATCTTGGTTCTTGGTGAATGCCGTTTTGTTGTTGAATTTTTTAAGGCATTCTACCTTGCACTCTTGTGTTCCAGTATTCTTCCAAGCATTCATATTTTCCACTGATTTCATTCTAATGCTATTCTGGAAATTCACATGTCATTTGATGGGTCTAACTTTTAACTCTTGTTAATTGCTAAAATCTGTCTCTTGATTCCAGTTGTTTGTTAAACATGATCTTACTTATTGGTTAACCTTGTTTTGTGGCAGAATGTATAAGGCATCCATGCACTCGTTCATTCATTCATGATTTGTATATCCATTGGATGCTTATCCGTCTTTGATAGAGTTCAAATTTTTCTTGTACTCGTCTTTAAATCCATGCCATTCTTTGCCAACTCATCCTTGTGTTGGGTTCATAGCGTAACGCCACAATTGTTCTTTTGTGGCTTTGGCAGGATTTATTTCTATTCCTTGTGCTTCCTATATCAACCTAGCCTCCAGTAGCTTATTTCATGGTAAATCCTGTTAAGTAGTTAAAGTTCTGCTTTTATGATTAGTTGTGGTTTGATATCAGAGTGGCGCAGTGGAAACGTAGTAGGTTATGTTCTGTTCATAAAGAGTTGGTGAGGCATTTGTTTTGTCTAGGATTGTGTGAAGCCATTCACCACTCAAAATGATCCTCAATTTGAGTTTTGGGGACAAAACTCTTTTTTAGGAGGAGGGAATGTAATATCTCAAATTTTCTGAAATTCTAGCATTTAAGTTGAGGACCTTTGTGTGAGAAAATATTATTTTGGGGCTTATTAGCTAAAATATCCAAATTTGAGGGACTTAAAAGAGTAAAAATTTGGATAAGGATCAGCTATTGTTTTTCTCCTTTTTCTTTCTTCTTCAGCCCGATTTTGCTCTTGTTCTTCATCCCCGACAGCCCCCCAAGCCCCTCCAGCCACCGACTCATTTCTTTGAGAAAATTAGTGACAAAGCTTGAAATTTCTCCTTCTTTCTTGCTCAATAACAAGTTTTAGGACTTAGAACTCTCTCTCTCAACCCAGAAATTTCAGATCTGCTCTGCTCTTCCTCCCCTGTCCGCCGGTGCTGCTAGGCATGAATTTCTGGGCTTTTTCGGTAAGCCACAGCCATGAACTTCATCTTTTCAGCTTGATTTAGCTTGGGTTCATTTTAAATCTGTTGTTTCTTCAAATTTTGGTAGCCCCGTGACCTTCCTTCCTTCCTTCCGTCGGCTGCTCTTGCTTGTGGGTGTGATTTTTCCGGTTCTGGTAAGGGGAACAGCCATTAAATTCTCTTTTCTCACTTGATTTGGCTTGGGTTTACTCTAATTTCCTTTGGTTTCTCCAATTTTTGGTAGATTTCCCCTGAATTTTTCCTTCCATGCCGTCGGCCTCCCTCAACCTCCAGCTTTGGTTTTGCTGGGAAAATTTTGGTATGTTGACAGCTCCTCCAAACCCGAAATTTCATCAATTAGTTGTTGAATTTTGTCCATTTATTTGCTGCCCTGTGTTGTCTGAATTTTGCTGAAAAATGAGGATGAATTTCGATAGTAATTAGAGCATAATTAAGCTTAATTCATGTATAAATTGCTTGAGTTGGCTGTTGTGATTTTGGAGGAAAATCCCAAGTGTTTTAGCCCCTATTTTTGCCAAAGCCGTGCTCTTCCCTTTTTGCCGTGAGATTGGGAAACCATTTATATATGTATTTGTGTATATAAATATATATATACACAATCTGGTCAATGAAATTACTTATAGAATTAATTCTTAAATATTTGATTAGGTTCGTAATTGTTCTGTCACCCGAGCACTTGGCTTGAGTTTCCAATTTCGTGCGATTTGAGGTAAGTAAATTATGGTAACGCCCTCTGATTTTAAAGCACATTTTAGCTTGTTTTTGAAGTGGTGGGGGACTAAACCCGTTTTACACCAGTATGATCGATTTGAAATGAAATTATATTCTTTTTATTGAATTGAGCATGCCTACTTGGAATTTACTTAAGTGCCCTGATGAACTGAGAATTTTGTAAACTCTGATTTTTCTATTAAATCCATGCCCGCATGAAAATTTTTCGGTTATTTTTGAAATTTGAGATTAATTGTGAATTATGATTTTCCTGTTAACTTCTGCCTGTTTTGTCTCTGATATGGTCATGTTATTCGTGTGCCCGCTAATGGGAGATTTATAAACGCTAGCACATGTCGACATGTTACTGATAGAACCGGTTTGTTTCCGTTAAATTGTTATCCTGCTAGTGGGATTATACACTAGTAAATCGTGTGTTTGCCAGTGGGAGGTTTATAACACTGGCCATGACCTATAGAGGGGACGTCTATTTCATTTCCGTACTCGTACTTGTTTTTCGTGATTACACTGGTTGGCATGCTATAAGTTTAATTAAGGGCTATTCATATTTATTTACTGAGTTATCTCATAGTTTTTCCTTGTCCATCATTTCAGAAAGCGAAGTCAAGGGTGGGGAAAAACGAGAAAAGTGACGAGTTAGAAGGCTAATCATCTTGTAAATTGAGCATAGATTTTAGATATAAATCATGATCTTGTAAGCTAGACTCTATTTGGAGATTTTATGATATTAGAGCAAATTTTATAATTTTATTTTCAGATTTTGTGGTATCAGATTGTGGTATGATAAGTTTCGAGCCTTGTGCATTTGTGGGATCCTCTCACAAGTGTACGGCATCTGGCACGTCCCCGGATTTTGGTTCTAGGGCATGACAATTGACCTTAAGGTCATCAGAAATTTTCAATAGACAGAATCCTCTCTCCACCTTGGTAATCCATGACCCCACCTGCTCAAAACCCGCGGTACTATCAAATTTCTTGGTCACCACCTTCTGGAATTCTATATAGACCTTCTAGCTAAGCACAATAGAAGTAGAAGATATAGGAGCAAGAGAAATTGGAGTAGGGGCCGTAGGAGTGGAAACCACTGGGGATGGAGGTGGCACACTTGCGGCAGAAGATGCTTAACGTCTCATCTCCGCCATAAATTCCTGAACAAAAGTGGCCATTTGAGGGTTACTCATCCCTCCCTCCTGAGGAGCAACTTGGGCAGATGGGCTAGTAGCTGGGATTGGAAGAGTGCCTTGATCCTTATGGCCACCCCTCGGGTGCCCACGCTATTTTGGAGCCATCTATAACCATATAAAAGGTTCATAGACTATTAATCAAGTGCCCCAAATTAGGGTTTCTTGGAAACTAGGACCAAAACCTCATAATTAAAATCCAACACACATTAAAGAAAGAATCAAACAAGTGCCCTTAATCAATCCCACTCTCATGCCTCACCACATTCTTATAATCCATTAGCACTTAATCAACCCCACTCTCATGCCTCACCACATTCCTATAATCCATTAGCTAGCCAAGTTCTAAACAAATCCTAGGTATTTAATTTAAACCTAGGCTCTGATACCACAAAATCTGTCACACCCAAAAACCAGGAGCGAAACAGATGCCGTGCACTTGTGAACGGATCCCACAAATGCACAAGGCTCGAAACTTACTATGTTCATAATTACCAATTTGCATAACTTAACTCAGAAAACTCGATAAATAACTAGCTTTTAGTTACCCAAAATTTGCTAGTCCAGATGTACAAAGTTTATAAAATAATCATGGCTATAACCAAGGAAAATCAATATACAAAAAAATGATTTCTCAATTTACATCTATGTCAAACATGTGTGGCTAACGGCTTAAGTCCAAAAAGGATCTAAGTCCAAAATACTGACTAGCTGTCTAGCTCGTCACTTTCTCTAGTTAACCGTGCCTTGGGTCTCACTTCCTGAAATGGTGGACAAGGAAAAACTATGAGATAAAATATCTCAATAAGTAAAAATATGAATAACCCGTAAGTAAAATTTAAGCATGCCTGATAAACAGTTTAATGTAACAAAACATTCAGTGATAAATGGTTAATGCAGAATAAGATTCAGTAGTAGCCTCATTTATAAGTCATGGCCAGTGTTTAACTCTCATTGGCAGACGTCAATAATAACCAATATATTATCCCATTGGTAGGATTTCAGTAATGAACTGATCCTATCGGTAAACATGTCAACATGTGCTAGCATTTATAAACCTCCCACTAGCGAGCACAGTAAAACATGACCATATTGGAGACAAAACCATGCAGGATTTACAAGAAAAATCCGTAATTCACAATCAATCTCAAATGTAAAAAATAAACCGAAAAATTCCAATGTAGGCATGGATTTAACAAAAAATTCATAATTTACAAAAATTCTAAGATCATTAGGGCAGTTAAGTAAATTTTAAGTAGGCATGCTCTTACTCAATAAAAATGAAAATAATTTCATTTCAAACCAATCATGCTCGGTGCTAATAAAATCAATTTAAACCTTGCCACCATCTCAAAAACAATTTAAAATATGCTTTTACTTTGAAATAGAAAGGCGTTACCATAATTTACTTACCTTAGTCACATAACACAGAAAATTCACTCCAAGTGCTGGGGTGACCAAACAATCAAGAACCTAACCAAAATATTCCAAAATTAATAATCATATGACCGGATATCTCAATTTTATTCTCAGTATAAACTATGCATTTAAACCCTTCTATTGTTGGCCATTAGTGCGTGAACAGTAATCTGTGAACAGTATCCATGAATGGTAACTGCAACTTCCAGAAATTGGCAAAACAATAGCTAATTTCACGGGATTTTTCTCTAAAACCTCACAGCAGCTAATTAACACTCAATCACATAAATTCTACTAGAATTAATGCTTAAATTTTGTTCTAATTCTACCGGAATTCATCCCCCTAATTCAACAAAAATCCGGACAGCACAGGGCGGTAATTCGTGGATAATTTTAGCAACTAATGGGTAATTGGACTTAAATGGAGCTATCACATACCAAAATTTAGCAAGCAAAATCAGAGCTGCAGATTGGGGGGAGGCCGGTGAGAATGAAGGAGAATTTCAGGGGATCTACCAAAAATTGGAGAAACCAAAAGAAATTAGAATAAACCCAAGCTAATTCAAGGAAGAACAGAGGAATTGGTGACTGTTTCTTACAAGAAATTTGAAGAATTCACACCCAAACACCGGCAAGAACAACGGACGGTGAGGAATAAAGCAGAGCAGATCTGGAAATTCTACAGAGGAGAAAGATTTCCAAGTCTAAATCTTGTTCTTGAACAAGAAAAGAAAGGCAAAAACCAAGCTTTCTTACCATTTTGTTTTTTCAAGTGGAGGTGCTTTTGGTGGCTGGGCTTCCTTGTTCGGTGTAGGGGAGAAGAAGAAGAGCAGAATCGGGCAGTTGAAGAAAGAAAGAAAGAAGAAAAAAAATCAGCCATCCTTATCCAATTTCTTTCCTCTTTTAAGTCCCTCAAATTTTGAAAATTTTGTGATTAGACTCAACAATATTATTTTCTCACAATTAGGTCCCTAACTCACTTAATTGTTCTAGAAATTTTTGGGGTATTACACAAATACTCATTAGTAGTTTATAACAATCATAACTTGGTTGAGAACTGCATAACTTTTGAGGGAAGAAAATGAATAGTCTATTTCATGAATTAATTGTGTATAATAATTATATAATAAATAATAAATAAATGTATATTAATATATTATAAATTATTATTACAAATTATATTATATTATATATATAAATGCATACCCTATTTAATGCATAGGGTAGCATTTTATATATATAGATACATTAATAAAAAAATAAAAACAAAAATAGTTGGCTTTAAAGTTTAACCCTTTTAATATTACTAATCAAATAACTTTATAGTTTTAGTTATTTATTTATGAGTTTTATTCTTTACTTATTAGTTCAATTATTATGCTATTTGTTAGTTTATGTCACTATAAGTATATTTATTTTATTTTGCATGTCTTGTATTGTCTTAATTATCTTTATTTTATTTAATATATTAATCTTAATTTATTAAATGCTATAATTATGTTATGTGTATTGTGTGTTTTTTTTTTATAATTTAGTTGATATTTTCTACTTTATAATTATATAAGTATATTTATTTCATTTAAAATGTTAATATTGATCTATTAAAAACTTTAATTACATACTAATTAAATAATATAATTATTATACTTGTATTGTCTTTTTTTTCCTAATTATTTTCA